CAGCTCTGTTGTCCTCCATCCATATTTTCAGTTCCAGGCTGAGTCATTTCTACCTTCTCCTCTCTGTCAACGCTCTCTGGTTTCATTTAAAAGTCTTAATTTTACAGTTAAAATATATGTTTATCAAATAAAGTTTAATGTTACAACTAATCGTGGATCCCTTTAATCCTCGTTTYGATGTGTTCGGTTAAATTTGATATGATAATCACAAATCTAAACTGGCTCAGCAAATATTGGGACATTCCTTAACACATAAAAGAACATCTCACAAGAATAAAACACAAAGTAGGTTCTGTGGTTGAGCTCTTTGTTGAAAAACTGTTTTGTCTCTTGTCCAAGAGACGTCTTCTGCAGAATGTTTGACAATCTGAGACGTGAACACTATTTTTGTGTTTGCTAATGTCAACTAGCTATGTACTAATGGTGTAATAATGTTTCTTTTGCTGTTCTTTAGTCTTAAACTCATAGTAAATAAAGGTTTGGTTGTGTCTGATTCAGGGTTTCTGCAGGACAAACATCAGGATGTAATCTGTCAGGATTATTGTTACGTCTGTCCTGCTCAGGATTGTAGTTTAGTTTACAGGTCGAGACATGAAGTTTTTCAAAATGTTGCTTTGGATTATTTTAAATTTTAAGCTTTTGTAACACTATTTTCATGTGACACAATGTAACAATTAAGAACAAAAATGTTGATTCAGTGTAACATCTTAAATATTTTTGTACATTTGCTGTGTTCATATGAAGGATTCATATGTCTGATCTAACCAGCCACACAAGCTACATGAATTTTCCACAACTCTGCAGGACATTCTAGTCTCCGTAGGTGAACCGGCCCAACAGACACAACAAAGTGAGTCCAAAGTCACAAAACACCCTTTTATACCAGAAAAAMAATGGAAAATAACGTCTGAATATCTCTACAACTAATGGGAGAGAGAGCCTATCAAAACGTTCAAGTTCAAGTTTATTTATATATCTCCAAGTCCCAACATACGTTGTCTCAGGACACTGTAGATAAAAAGAACAATGTAAAGAA